AAAAAAAAAAAAAAAAATGAAATCAGAATGGGAAACTATTAGTAGGCGGCCAAAACAAACATTTCTTTTGCCCCAGATTAACAAAAGAGAACACTGCTCTTGCTTTTTTCACATAACACATAACAGACTTATCTGGGTGAGCTTTCCATATCAGGATATAAAAGAACTTCCTCCATAGAATTCCAGCGTATGATACACTTCAATTTATAACTAACCCTATTGACGCATTTAAAAAAATTTTAATGTTTATTAATTTGGGAGGGAGGGAGAAAGAGGGAATCCGAAGCAGGCTCCAGGCTCTCAGCTGTCAGCACAGAGCCCCACACGAGGCTTGAACTCACAAACCACAAGATCATGACCTGAGCCGAAGTCGGAGGCTTAATGGACTGAGCCACCCAGGCGCCCCCCGCCCCACATTGATGCATTTTAAACTTGTTTCCAGCCTTTTGCAGTTAAAACAATTGTATGTGACTTTCTACACAAAATATTTCATATACATGTGTATTTTTTTTTTTTTTTTTAGTTTATTTAGTTTTGAGAGAAAGCGCAAGTAGGAGAGGGGCAGAGAGAGAGAGGGAGACATAGAATCTGAGGCAGGCTCCAGGCTCTGAGCTGTCAGCACAGAGCCTGAAGCAGGGCTCGAAACCATGAACCAGGAGATCATGACTTGAGCCAAAGTCAGACACTTAACTGACTAAGCCACCCAGGCACCCCCTTATACGTATTTCTGTATAGAATGTACATTTACAGTTTATCAAATTTACTCAGTAAAATGCAAATAAGTAGGTAGGTTCTTAACATGGTATGTATGGCTGATACCAAAAGCTAGCTTTATACTTAAGAAAATATTAGCAGTGTTCCTACCAGAGTTGGGGACAAGGTAGGATACCACTATGATTGCTGTAATTTAACCATTGTTCCTGGGTATTAGCCAATCCAGTTAGGTGAGATAAAGAAATTGAAGCTATAAAAATTAAAAGATGTAAAAGCTATCACTCCTGCTGATGATTTTTAAAAATTTTATTAATCATGTTTATGGAAGATCTGTCCTTTGTTTTTTGCATAGAGGATAATTCTTGAATTCTCTCCCCTTAGAATTTTTTAACATGATGAATTATATTAATAGTTTAAGTCCAGAATCTGTCAAATTGTTTACAGGGTGCACCTCTGGATTACAGGTCTTTTTACTTCCAATATTTCACATTTTATATTTTTATTCTTTTCAGTAAACATGATTTTTTTTTACTATATAGGAGTTTGTTTATGGTATAGATATAGAGATAAAATTGAAATTATGGAGGTGTTTCAGATAGACTATTTCTTAAAAAGTCATTTTAAATGTTACCCATTGGGAACTGAAATGTTTGTACATTATGATATATAATCTGTAATCCCTAAGCATAATGAAAACTTTCCTCGATAACTTGTTATCTTTGTGAATATCAGACTGGTGTCTTTTTATAAGGTAATAATGTCTTCTGTCTCATCTAACGTGTTTGGCTTGAAACCAAATAAATAAGAATGATATTAGTAATAGCAGCTAATAGCAGTTACTGAACACTAACTACATACTAACCACTGTGCCCAGTGCTTTTTATGTTTTATTTTCAATTTAATTTTCAAAATAGTTCAGTGAGGTGTAAGTACTATTAATACCAATTTTACAGATAATGAAAATGAGGCATAGAGATACTAAATCACTTGCCCACAGTCATGTACCTAAAAAATGGTGGCCTTGGAATTTGAAGTCAGGCAGACTACAATCAAATACATTCTTAACAATTTAGCCATATTACCTCTTGCTTATCAAACTTCAGACTTGTGTGTTATTAAGCTGAGAAGACAGCAGAAAGATGCTCACGTAAATATATGTTACAAAGAAGTTTGATTTAATTCCCAGACTTTCTGATAACTCTTTCTAGCTGCTCAGAGACCTTTGTTGATTAACATTACAGTGGTTCAGTTATATTTTGGCAAAGTGTTACTGCCAGATGTCTGGGTTCTTTAGACATGAAGCTACGTAGCTGTGAAGTAGGAGTTATTTCTATTGTATTTGAGGTCTGAAGGGTTTAAACTAAATTCATTGTTTACAGCAGCCTTTTAACCTGTGGGACATACATACTAACTTCATGGTGTCGGTTCAAAATGAACACAGACCTGAGAACATGTAATTTTCTGGGTAGAATGTGTAGAGCTTTAATACAATTTTCAAAGGGATCCATTACGCATAAAAGACCAAACACCTGAATTACCTCATCTTTTCTTTTGGTTAGAGAAAGGTAGCCCTAAATTTTTTAGTTATTAGTTGTATGACCCACTTCATGTGTTCTTTATCATCAAAAGCAGAATGAAAACAGTGGTGTGCACATAGTGATGAAATACATGAAGAACAGAGGCGAAAAGGAGGCTACTTGTCACTATTTTATAGTTTAAACATAGAGATGAACTAGTTCATCTCCAAGGTCCTTCCAGCTCACTCCTTCCAGTATCCTGATGATTTGTGAGTCCTACTTTTTGGAGATAATACTTTTCCACAGTGAAATTTTGCTGAATTGAATTGTGAGGTGTCATTAAAAATCCAAGGGCTGAATAAAAAAGTTGAGGGTAATAACTTAAGAGTGCCACCAACTAGTACCAAGTGTTCATAATTTTCAAGCAGTTACTGTATCAAATTTATGTTTGAGATATATATGATTAGAAAAGTTGTGATGTCTTTAAAAGCAACTGCACTAATAAGCTTTTTTTCCCTTAAGTTATGTATTTTAAAAAAAGTTTTTTTATTCTTCAATAGGGCAGTTTGGTTGGTTTAGTGGATTATCCAGATGATGAAGAGGAAGATGAAGAAGAAGAAACATCTCCCAGGAAAAGACCTCGTCTTGGCTCCTAAAATACTTACTGGGGACCCTCAAATGTGTGGTCTTACTAAAATGCTGCATCTGTTCAATGAGCTGAAAATCTGAATCAGAAAGCTTTCTCACTTGAACTTATAAATATACAAGGAGTAGCAAAAGACACTCAGTATATCAGCTAGGAGAGTTTAGTTCTGTAAAAAGAAAAACAAAAAAAAGGCTTCCCAGGAACTTGATTGCTTGCTAGTAATTAAGGGGTTTGCCTTTCAGGCTGTCAAAAAAAGGTTAGTGACCTGAACCTGGGAGATAGCCTCTCAGTGAGGAAACTCTCAGGTTTGGGAATGGCTTGGGGAGGGACAAGGTTGATAAAATATTAAATGCAGGGTTGCTCCAGGGGGGGTATCCGATCTAGAAACAATTGCAGAACTTTAGTTACAAACCCAATAACATTACTTGTATAATGGTGCTGGCCATGTTGTTCTTTTAATCAGTTGCCTCTTTTTAAAAAATTTTTTATGGAAAACAAATTCAACTATCATAAAAGTGAAGTTATGCTGTTGGGACCATTTTTTGAAGTTTTAACAAATTCAGCCTTATAGGTAGTTGGAGGGAAGTACACTCTGTGTTACAGTACATGTTGAGTTTTCTACACCATGAATTTTCAGTATGTATTTTGATGAAAACAAGCTGGATTCAAAATGGAGAGTTTTGTCAGTAGAACTTTAAAATCAGCACTTTTAGAGATAACTGATGCCAAGTATCAGTACAGTAGTATTTCGAAATGATTTTTTCTAGAAACTTGGGAGTGGGTTGAACAGAATGTTTCCAACTGTCTCCCTCCCAGTCACTCTTTGGTGGAGGATACTTTGAAGTCACTTTCTGTTTTGTTGGTTAAGTTGTCTCTGTCCAGAGCTGCAAGCTAGTTTTAAAGTGTAATTTATAAAGACTTCCATACCAAGAATAGTGCTGAATTAAGTGGCATATCTAGAGGCCATTTTGATCCAAGAAGTTACTTCAGTATCAAAGTCAGTATGCAGCACATGAAGTTTTTCCATAAACAGGGGTGTAATATGAAAGCTGCTTTTTTTTTTTAAAGAATAAAAGCACATTCCATGTACGTAAATGAACTTAAAATAGTAAGTTGAGGCAAACAGTTAAGAAGTTTTATTTTTAGAACAGCAAGTTAACTGTAAATATTTTAATGTTAGTTTTGCTCATCTATGATCTGAGATCATGCTGAAGTGAGAAAAACGTCCCCCAAACTACAATTTAATGCATTGGGAAGAAAAGTGAAAAATAGTAATTCCAGCTACAATCTTCAGATCACCCTTGTAATGTGTTATGGGTCCATTTTTCCTGGAATAGCTTAAACTGAAGCAGTTTCCCCTGTTTTGGAGATTTTGTAGTTAATTTTAATTTTGGCTATTGTTTGGAAAAGATGGGCTGTCTGTGTAGATATGAAGTATAGTTTTTCCATAAAACAGATGTTTATTTTGTATTAAAAAATACCACTGTACTTGTTTTACACCATTTGTATACATGTGGTGATATTAATGCTGACCTGTAAAATTCAGGAATTAAAATGTGACCCTGTAATTCTATGATTGTTGCTTTTGTTTGGTTTGTTGTAAATATAAGTTAACTCCATTTTGAGATATGTCCATTTTATAGTATCTTTTAAAAGTCAATAAATTATCCATAGATATTTATTATAAACCACTAAGTCATACACCAATCTGAATGAAATAATTCTAACAAAGGTTGACTGCACTTTAAGTATTACTGATTCTACTTACAGAAGGTGTGCCTTGGGCAAATAAAGTCCCAGCACCAAAACATCACAGCATGGGGCTAGTCTTATCTCTTTGATTAAAGGTTCATATAATGAAAGAGACCTTCCACTTTAAGAGGCAAGTGACTCAGGATAATTTAAACTAATATCAGTAAAATCACCATCTGAATACATTTTCTTTCAAGAAAGTTCTGTGAAGCCCCTTTCACTCCTCTTAGCTCTTAATAAATTTCCTCTTGTCATCTAAGAAGCCCAGGTCTAAAGCATTTCCCTATTTACTCTTGACTCTTACTGATTAAGTAATTTTAAAGTTCCAGTAGGAAATATTATCTCCATACCTTATGGAGAGTTTCTTTAATTTTCCTTTCTGAAGAATTGCCACGAGTCAAACATTTAAATCCTCATCATCATAGATAGGAACCATTCTTATAGCAGAAATGTGAATGTTTTGTTGACTTACAGGATAATAGTCTTCATGGTACCTAGGCTCACCCACAATGATATGAAAAGAGGGCTTAAAGTATCCTTTGAAAGAATATTAAGTTTCCACATGTTAGCTACTGTCTTAATGACTACCCTCACTCAGGCAGATCAGGATTTTTATATCTTTATCTTCACTCCTTGAAGCAAGCCAGAGCCCACATTTGTATGCCTGAGGTTCTCTTAAAATTATATCTGTAAACATGTATCCAGTATAAAAACTATTTTTAATAAAAAGTTACATGAAACATTTCTGTGTTTTAATCACTAGTTTTTCCTCTTGTCCATCTAAGTGATGAAAATGTAACAAATGTAAAGTAATGCTGGTTTTTCTCTGCAGGTTGAAGACTGGAGCTAAGCGAATTTTGGTATCCCTTTTTAAAAGTTTATAATTGTAGATTTAAAGAGATAAATTGGAATTATAAATTCAGTCTCAGGAGTAACTAGAAAAGGGGGTGCCTGTTGGATGACACAATACAGGAAGTTTCTGAAAGAAAGGTCTTCTGCTATTCTGGTTATCTGTGAACAACTACAGAAGACCACCGAGGGCCACTTCACACAAAAGACCTATACCCAGGGCCACATTCCCCCCTGGAGGCTCAATCAATTATTCCCTTTATCTTTTTTAATGGTAGGCTTCCTAGAAAGAGTAATTGAGTATTTTTAACATCCCCCACATCCATTTTCCAAGTCCCATTTGCTCCTGCCTCACATGTAAATGCCAAAATCTATCTTAACACTGCCCATGATAATTAGTCTTTTGATTGGATTTCCTTATACCTGGTATACCCACAACTACTCTTAACTCACCGAGTAATCTCCGTACAGCAGCCACACTTTTTTTTTAAAACTGAACAGTTTGATGATGTAACTTGCCTGCTTTAAAACTTTTCAGTGATTTCCCACTGCCATTACAAAATCGAAAATTCTCACATTCCCTACAAGGCCATGCAAGTCAGTACCCCACCTACCTCCAATTTCACACACTAACCCTCTCCCTTCATTCTTTGTAGACTCACCATACTGCCCGCTCCTCACAAGGTGCTTTATTCTTTTCCCGGTGGCAGGACCTGAGTTGTTTCTTCGCATTTCTCCCCATAATCAGCCTTACTATCAGCTTGAATATTCATTGCCTTCTCAAGGAGGCTTGGCCAGCCCTGCTTAGAACACCACCTTTCCCTTTAAACACTTTGCTCTTTGGGCCTTCTTCGCTAGCCCCATGAAGGCAGGGGCCTTGACAATCTAGTTGACTGCTGTATCCCTGGCACTCAGCACAGTGCTTAGCACAAATAGGTAGCCAAGTTTGAGTAAATAAATGTGCTAGCAATTGAGTTTCTATACCCTCTCAGCTCAAGTAGCTGCCCTCCCCACCACCCTGTACCTCAAAAGTTTAATAAAGTAGTAATAATGAGCTTATATTTGCATTTACAAACAAATATTTGAAACTAACAGGCTCAGTTTAAGGATTAAATAATTTATTTTTAAGAAAATTTGAACTTTTGCTAAATTGCTTTTAAAATTACTTATTAATAACTTCTTCTTTAAGTTTCTCTGCAAGCAATCTCCTCTTTAGTAATGTTTGCTTCTCCTCTGCTGTCATTTCTGGTTTCTCTGTCATTTCCTTAAAAAACAAAAAACAAAAAACAAAAAAAAAACAAAAGAAAATAAAAGGAAAAAATTGGCTATAGTATAAGATGGGTTCATTAGTCTAGAATTCCCAACATACTGCCTCAAAGAGCACTTTCAGTAAGTAGAAATTTAAAAAGCCACATGTGGACTGGGTTCCCTAAATCTCTTCTTGGCAAAAATCTCTTCTTAGAAAAGAAAATCTCTTGGAGTTTGTGGCCACTGTATTGTTGCTTTGTGATTAAAGTATTTCCAAAGGCTTAGGTGAAACAGACTGCTGAAATTTAAGCACTCAGCAGGGCAAGTAAAGAAACACAAAAAAATGTTTATAATGAAATTGCTGTCACCTCAACCTCACAAAATGTTCGTATCATGGCCATTTCACTGTAGAAAAAAAGTTGGCAGGTGCTACACTTGCAGGGAGGTTAATAGGAATGGATGGACTACAAGCAACATTCATTATCAGGACTGTCTTGCACACACTCTGATTTTGAGAATTCCACCTCTAGATTTGCAAATTTTGACACAGTAAAGCCATCCATACCTCTGCTTCCCCAGCAGGTTTTCCCTTCTCAGAATTTTGTATCTGCTTAGTCTTCATATCCTTTCTCATGGACATCAACTGATCTCGCTTCTGCTTGAGATAGCGCTCTCGTTGCCTGAGCTCTTCCGTTCCAAGTGTTGATAAATTCTGGGTCAAAAAAGAGAAGGAGCCATTTAAATTCAAATCCACACAATAAGTGGCACAGATAGCCACTGGCTTATTGAACTCAAAATTGAGTTCAAGATCATAACAAAAGCCAAGTGTATGGCTGTTTACATTGTTTGTTCTTAGTACTTTGCCATTTTGCTCATAGTTCTTAAAAAGTGGTGCTTTTTACTTACTGCTATTGGTCCTTCAATGCTTGCATGTTCTAAGCCAGGAATCTTCAGGCCTTTTTGTGGGAAGGAGGAAGTTTCAGGCAGCATTTCCGGCTTTCTTGCTAAAGGTTGTACTGACTGATTAGCAAAATGCATTTTAACTTCTGGCAGTAATTAGATAGAGACCAATTAGAATACTGTAAGAAATATTCAGTATGAGACTAGGTTCACCAAAATGAGCTAGTGTTTTTTTCTCACTGACTTTTTTCTTATTTTCCAATCAACACACACTGATTCAGTGCCTATATTGTGTCATATACCTGGTGACAGTAATAAACATGGTTTCTGCCCTCAAGGAGCTAGAACTACTCTTTCTCATGAATGATGACATTTCAACAAATACCAAGCTCCTGCTGTTTGGTACTACAGCTACAAGAAGTATAATTCTTGTCTAAAGATTAGAATTACCACTATAATGTAATACAAGGCTGACACATAAGCTAAATAAATAGTACACTAAAATCCCTTCCTGGTAATGTAATTGGTTGTCAAACTTTTGCTTGTAGGTAAAAACTGTTAAGTGAACCTTTATTTTCAGAACAACGAACTTAAAGCTATAACTTTTTGTATTGGCAGAATGCATGCCAGTAACATCATTTTTTGTTTGTAATACATACTGAAGAGAACTACAAACCTGCCAATTCTTTAATAAAATGTAAAGATTTTAGAGTTAAGGTAGAACTCAGAAGAGAGATAAGAGAGCACTCAATATTTTCCAATTATTTGGTGACTGCTAAGAGTAAGACGATTAAAATGCTAATTGCTTTTCTGAGCAATTTGTTACTATAAGATAAGGTGATTTTTAAGATAAAACATTTTCAGGGTAAGTATGTGAACCATGAAAGACAGCAGAGTGAGAGAAGAAAAGACTCAGATAAAGATGATACCAAGAACTGAAAACAAGATGGGACAACATGATCTATGTGTCTCAAAATGCTTGAAAATCATGGCAGCACAGTAAAACCAGAAATAAGTCTCTGTATGAACAAAAAACTTGCCAAAGGACCACTGCTTTAGCATGGAGCGAGTGGAATGCTGGCAGGGCCAGGGAGGCTGGAAGAAGAAAAGCTCTTCAGGCTCTTGGACATAAGGGAAGCCTCCAAAGAAGAGATGAGCCTGGAGCTAACATTCCAACCAACCTAGACCAGGAGCTACAAAACTAACTTAGAAATAAAGACCAACTTCAACAAATTAGTCGTGATTTGCTCACAGGAGTTAAACATGCCATTCTTACTAATAGTGACTTTACACGGAGGTACGCTTGGCCCCCAGATATGGAAGCAGAGAGCTGAAGAAGGACAATTCCACTCACTCTGAGGAGGGGGGAATCCCAGGCACATAAGTATCTATTTTTTATTTTTTTAATGTTTACTTATTTTTGAGAGAGCGCACACACGTGAGCAGGGGAAGGGCAGAGAGAGGGAGACAGAAGATCCAAAGCGGGCTCCATGCTGACAGAGCCCAATATGGGGCTCAAACTCATGGAACCACAAGATAATGACCCGAGCCAAAGTCAGACTCTTAATGGATTGAGCCATCCAAGCGCCCATGCACATAAGCATTTATATTCAACTCATGTACTTGCTCTGGATAGTTCTTTCCTTGACTTTGTTATGAACATCTTGTATATTCTAACTCAGACCTAGAGAGGAAAGTACTTGAAACCAAAATACTTAGCTTCTCTATTTCTAGGAATAGACTATCAGAAAACCAAGAAGCTAAAAGATCATCTTATCTCTGGCAACTCTTTGCATCTATCTGAGAACAGATGCTTATCCATTTCTAGCAAGAACCAAGGAAACACATGAACAAAAGGATTAAAAAGGAAGTCAAACTGCTTTTTGATTCTTCCCAAATTAGGTCTTCAAAATGGATTTCCATCACTTTGCATAAAATGATTTCCCAGAATATCAGATATACTCATTTTTTAAAAATAGAATAGTTTTTCAAAACTAAAATCATTACTTTAGAAATTATCTGCCATTTTTTCTGTGCACTTATGTGCATACTTGAGTTATATGTAGTTTGAGATTAAGTTTTCTATAACTTCACTTTAACAGATAAAGAACTAGAGGGGCATCTGGGTGGCTCAGTCAGTTAAGCATAGGAACTTGGCTCAGGTTGTGATTTCACAGTTTGTGAGTTCGAGCCCCTCATTGGGCTCTGTACTGACAGCTCAGAGCCTGGAATCTGCTTCAGATTCTGTCTCCCTCTCTCTCTCTCTGCCCTTCCCCCGCTTGTGCGCGCTCTCCCTCTCTCTCTCTCTCTCTCAAAAATAAACATTAAAAAATTTTAAAAACAAAAAAACTAGACAAAGCAAATTTATTCAAATTATGTCAAACACAAGACTGAAGCAGTGTGCACTTAGGTCTGTATAAAACAGAAAGTTAAATTTAGGCCAACAAATTAAAAAAGAACTCAGACAAATCTAAAGCAGGTACTTTCATAAATATAATCAAATGAAGTTTTTCTACCTAGAATCTGAATATGAAAAAAGAAAAATGATTCCATTTGCTAGGAATAAAGAAGCAAGGCAATTTCATAAACTTGCTTCTGTTTCCTATACCTCATTGTTTTATCAACTAAGAGTACCGTAAAATCAATCAATGAGTAAACATCAAACCTATCCTATCTCAATTATAAAAGTTCTTCTTTTTTTTTAAGTTTATTTATTTTGAGAGAGAGAGAGACAGCACGAGAGAGTGCATGCAGGTGCAAGCAGGGGAAGGGGAAGAGAAAGAGAAAGAGAGAATCCCAAGCAGGCTCTGCGCTGACAGCATGTGGCCTGACTGGGGCTCGAACCCACAAACAGTGAGATCATGACCTGAACCGAAATCCAGAGTCGATGCTTAACCAACTGAGCCACCCAGGCACCCCAATTATAAACACAAGATTTGGAGGCAGAAGACCAAAGTAAGTTACGGTTTTACCATTTAAGTGCTCAGTGATTTTGGACAAGTCACTCAATTTCCCTGAATTTCTTATAACACAGTAATAATAAGACAGAAAAATAAGGATTGCAATATCTACCCGACAGTTGTGTGGGTTTTTTTAAATAAGAAAAGGACATTTATTTAAAACCATAGAAATGTAAGATAAAATGAACTGAATTCATGCTCTTGGCTCCAATTCTGTTTCAGAATTACTTGTTTTCTTATAAAAGAAATCAGAATATAGTGAAAATAGATTTGCTGTACAGTGAACAAGTTCATCCACTAACATTTCCCACAAGGATTCTCATCAATTTTAGTTTCAATGATATTTCCTGACTAAACATCTGCATCAACTGGCTACTTCTTGTTTTCTAGTTATGCTTGAATTCATTAGTAAAATAGTATTACCTTTCCAAGTTCAACTTCTAATTCACAGACACTATATAACCGTGGTCAAGGAAAACAACAGATGTGATGTGAACACATGTTGGATCCTGTAGCCATGGCACAAAGGCTGGTGTCTCCCTCAAGGAATTGGACTCACTCCCCTGGGTGCCAGGCTTCACTTAGAAATCTGGGGACTACACTCTGTCAGCTGAGTGTTTCCCACCTGCAACTTCTATAGCTAAATTAAAAGAGAATTGTAAATACCAATGGCCATTCAGTCATTTTGAAGGTTAAGTATGCATGAGAAAGTAACACACTCTTTATAATGTTTCTGTATTCATATTATTAAAGAAAGTTCAGTACACTTCAACCTTACCTGCAGGTGGGTGTGCAAAATGTTCACCATCCCCTTGGGAGTTCATTTTTGCAGTTTCACTTGCATGCACTGGAGGCTCTTCTGTTTTAGTCTCTGATAACTTCAGGAATTCATAACACAATCGAAAAATTTTTAGATTAATTTTGACTAATTCACTACTTAAGTTATCCAAAGATGTCATTAAATATTGTCTACTAAATCGATAATGAACAAGAAATTTTCCAAAGTTTTCAGCACTTTACATCTTTTACTTTTTGAGGTAAACATTCTCATTTCAAATCATGAAGTGCTAAGAGTAACCAACCAGTATGCTTTGTACTTCAGACCTAGCAAGAAGTTAGGTTCAAATCCAGGCTTCACCCCTTACTACTCATGTGACCTGAGTAGTCATTGATGTCATTGATGAGGACACCAATAGTACTCTAAGAGAAATAAATTCACTAAATTATAAGGTGCTTTTCCACTTAAAATAATCTATATAGCACTACCATGTTATGCCTGAAGAAACCACAGACTGGTTTATTTCCATTTCTAAAATGGGAGAGTATATTTAAACCAAATAAATCATTTAAATCTTAGAAAGAACTTAGTAAACTGATAATTTGTTTTTCTTAAAAACAGTAAAATCTAATCACATGTAGCTTGTTAGGAAGCTCATGACAGAAGCCCCTACATGCTGGTAATGAACACAGGAAGATTCATTATCATACTATCAGCTCCACTTTTGTGTGTTTCAAATTTCCATATAAAAACGTAAGAAAAGTTTTTAAAAAACCCAAACATGTACACCTAAAACATAGTATTATTCAAGAAGCCAAATATAGTTTCCTTATAAACCAAAGTGTTCATACTAATGTCTTCTAATAGCAGTTTTGAACTGATTTCTGTTCTATACTCTTACATTAAAAATATTAATATCTAAGAATTGCACGTTCATTCACTAAACGGAGATTTACTTAAAGATAAATAAATCCCTCTTAATCCTAAAACATCTCTATTTCTCCTGCTCTTCACTGGGTACCTTGGGAGTGAAATAAGGTTTTTCAAAGACAATGCATGATAAATAAGCATGTGTCATAGTGATTGAAGGAAAAAAAGGAAAATGACTTTTGAATGATCGAGAGAGAGTTTATATTCGGTTTCCCCTTCCCTTCAGAGAGATTTGGGCAAGTGTAGAAAGAGAAGCAGCTAGAAGAAGGAAGAGGAAAGAATAAATATTAGCTTCCTTCACCTTAGCCAGATACATGTTTAATTTATCCTTAGGAAAGATTAGGTACTTTATGGAAATAGTTCTTTTTTTTTTTTAATTTTTTTTTCAACATTTATTTATTTTTGGGACAGAGAGAGACAGAGCATGAATGGGGGAAGGGCAGAGAGAGAGGGAGACACAGAATCGGAAACAGGCTCCAGGCTCTGAGCCATCAGCCCAGAGCCTGACGCGGGGCTCGAACTCACGGACCGCGAGATCATGACCTGGCTGAAGTCGGTCGCTTAACCTACTGCGCCACCCAGGCGCCCCTATGGAAATAGTTCTTTTTTTTTTTTTTTTAAGTTTATTTATTTTTGGGACAGAGAGAGACAGAGGATGAACGGGGGAGGGGCAGAGAGAGAGAGGGAGACACAGAATCAGAAACAGGCTCTAGGCTCTGAGCCATCAGCCCAGAGCCTGACGCAGGGCTCGAACTCACGGACCGCGAGATCGTGACCTGGCTGAAATCGGAGGCTTAACCGACTGCGCCACCCAGGCGCCCCGGAAATAGTTCTTAATGGAAGAACAGTATGCCAGGAAATATAATAACGAAACCATTCTGCGGCAGGCTGATAATGTTAAAATCTTCAGGAGACCCTCAGGAGTAACTATAGCTGCTGTTTGAAAACAGTAAAGGAATCAAAGAGAGTGGGAAAGTAAAATATTTTTCTTAATTGTCTCCATTCATAAAATTAAGGGAAATTTTTAAAGGAGTCTCTCAAAATATGAATGATATTACAGTTTTGGGGAGTTAATAATCTCAATGTTTACTGGGTATTTAAAAGGTAGGTTGCTGGATGGGTTATAAAGTGAATATGGTTATAAAGTTACATATAAATGCTTAGAATTGCCAAGAGAATACGATACTCTGAGGAACTGTGTGGTTCCACATAAGCAGCAAAACCTTGCCATACAAACCTAAGAGATAACAGCAATGAGAGAAACCTGGCTGGCTCAGTAGGTAGAACATGAGACTCTTGAGCATGAGGTAAAGTGTTCAAGCCCCATGTTGGGTGAGTTTACTTTAAAAAAAAAAAAAAAAAAGAGAGAGAGAGAGAGATAACAGCAATGAAATACTTCTACTATACTAATATGCTCTGTGGGCACCTGCTTTTTTCTCTTCCTTTCTTCTTCCTGGTCATATTCCTCTTTTGATTTTCTGAAATACACAAAAATAAGGTAGAAAAGTAAATTTTCTTTTTTGGTCAAAGAACAAATATTCAACAAACAACATTCTAAACTAAGCTCACAATGTGTTTAAGGAATCTTGGAAACCAAGGTGGAAATAATCAGGCTTTTCTCAAAGCAGCTTAGTCAACTGAGAAAGACATATAGATATACACAGCATAAAATGGTAACATAAAATATGGGTTTACTCATTTCTTCTGGAAATGTGAATGCCCCAAACTGAACAAAGATCTACAGATTTGAAATCCCAAACCCAAATTTGAATGGCAAATCTGATCTCTCACTTTAAAATTATGAGATCCATCTCTCCCCCCATTCTAGTTTTTCCAGTGGCATGGGAGTTACCACAAAGCTCTCCTGATATCATTATGCCAAAGCCCTATCAGCTTTTGTAAAATGCTCACTGAGGCCCTCTGATTTAGAGAAATAACCAAGTCAACTCTCGTACGTGTTCATAACTAAGCTCTACTACTCTACAGTAGTACATCTCCCTCAAAAACCTAAGGGCTTTTTAGAAAATAAAATCTAAAAGTACAATGATCAATTTTCAGACCACGAATCAACCAACAGAAGCAACCAGTACAAGTCAAACTACCAGTCCTCTAAACCTATTACCAATATCCTTAGCTCTTCAAACCTATAAACTCAAAGCATCCTGTATTTTCTCAGGCTCCCATCTGCCCCTGCTGTGGGAAGTACGACCTGGCCAGAAGAGGTTGGGTTCACCTGCATGCCTGCCTCCCTCCCTACAACCACTCAAATCCCCTGGAAATAAGCACTAAGTCATGGAGGTCCTTCCATAGTTCCTCACTAGACCCATCCTCCTACTGACCATCCTGCCTGTCCTCCCTTCTGCTTTGAAGTTGAAACGAGGGGGGCAGGGCTGGAACTACAGGATGTTAGAAGACAGTCATGTGTGTGGTTAGGGCTGAAGAGAAAGGAAGGGCCCCCAAAGGACAAGGCCCCATTCTGTAGGGGACACATTGGCCACAAGTATCCTTTTGCCCTAAGCCTATACATTCTCAAAGGAGATTTAAAAATTAGGTACTTCAATTGCCACTCCCTTCCAAATCTCCCAGAGGGGTCAAGAGACAATAGACCCAAGAGAAAAAGAACTACTCTTTTAGTGTGCTGCCCACTCCATGCCAGGCATTTGGCAGAGAATCATGTAACTGGAGCAAGGAAGAGACCCACAAGACAGTCATCTGGGATGAGCACTTCCCACTGTCTACTTTTCCCTTGCAGGGTACCTGCCCAGTCAGCTATTCGGCCTGTGGAGTCTGAATGTCCAGCTTCCTACTGTTAGACACCTAGAACGAGCCATCTCAAATACCAAGGTCCAGAAGCCATGGAATGTCTTGCTTGCTCAGGCCACTACGCCCCTTTCCAGGCATCAGGATGGGTCTACTGCAACTTTTCCCACTGGTGGCTAGTTTCCTGTTCCCATGATGAGAGGAGAAAAAGACCCTCCCATTTGGCCTGATATAGTATGAGGCATGTGAAAATCATTTTTTCTGTCAATTAAAAAAAAGTTATACATAGTTATAAACAAGTACAATGATAAATCATTTTTATGGTTTTCAGTAGAGAATATAGATATTTTTTACTAGTTCATAATATTTTGGAGATAGAAAACATATACACAGATCATATCACAATATTACTAATGATTCATTCAAAAAATAATTAAAGAAGGATACCTAAGAACTTCCCTCAGGATTTTCATCTCTTCCTGTTCAAGATCACTGACCACATCAGAACCATCTGTTAAGCAGTCAGGTAATACACCTGTTCAAAACCAAAGACCACACAAAAGAATATAAACTCAACTGAAAACATTTATTTCTCACTACTCTAACTCACCAAGAAGTACAAATCAGTTTATTCATATCTTTCGTTTTAAAAATGTTCTCAGCTATTATCTAATTATGGTCTTTTTAACTTTTTCTTGTTTTAGAAAATCAGCCCCACCAAAAAACCCACAATTTTACCTAGAATTCTCTTAGTAATTATTTGTATTACCTATTAAAAATAACCATAATATAGCAATTAAAATTAGTAAATATAAACTATCACCACCCCTAATCACATACTGAGTATATACCACTGAAATCATTAAGCTCCTAATAATAAAACTATGCTCTTAAAAGTATCCCTTAAGTGTGAAAAGAGTTTACAAAACAAAATATAAAATACTTTAATTGAAACAGTATGTTAATACTCTTCATTCATACTATAGCAAATGCTACTGAAAAGAGCCCTGCTTACTACATGGGAAAAAGCACAGTGCTAAGCACTCAGGGACAATATAAAGATGAATAAAACAATCTCTGCCCTCAGAGCCTCTATCTAGATATTGGGCCAATAACTATAAACTAGGGCAATACCAACTTTGGCCCAAGCAAATAATAACTCATGGCAAGTAATTTTAAGAATTGGTTGAATTTGCTTTATTACCTTTATCTTCCTGATAAGCAGGTAGACTGGTAATCAGTGTTGTGTTCATATCTATGATTAGTATATTCCCGCAACATCAGCAGCATGTCTCTTAATTTTTACCTTCCATTTTCTCTATTCACAAATGACTATGGGATTTTGGATCCGCTCTAAATTAAAGTAGCTATATGATTCTAATCCCCTTGGTGTTTAAATACATTTTTAATTAAACTTTTTATTTTGAGATAATTGCAGATTCACATACAGTTTTAAGAAATAATACAGAGAAATGCTATGCATGCACCTTTTTTCAGTTTTCCCCCAATGGTAACATCTTGCAAAATATGGTATAGTGTCACAACCAGAAAGCTGACGTTGATAAAACACATCGATGCATTTTTGCTCAGTCAAAAGATATACAATTAGTATTCTCTAATAATATTTCTAAGGAAAATTAAAAGAACTAAGGAAAGAATAATGCAATAGTATGCAATACTTCAAAGCCATCAAAATAATGCTCTGATTTACATTTCTCCAAAAATTCTTTGATAAAATACAACTAAGAATCCAAAGAGCCTTTGAATGTTTCTTACCACAATTTTCAAATGATCTGCAGTTTTTAGTACAATCAACATTGCTCTAAGGTACTATCTACCAGATCTAAGCTAAGCAACATTCTTAAATCCAAGTATTAAAAATACTATGGCAGAAACTAAGTCTTAGTTTTTACCTAAAAGTAAGCAAACAGTCCCACTCTGTAGTTTGACACCAGCATTAGTCTGCATCATTGTCTCATCCTCTCTTGCTAACATAAGCCAGATTTGCTTAATTAGCAGGTAGCCAAGTACTTAGAGGCTGAGCCCTACCCCACCACAGCAGAGTGATTCATGAGTGACTTAAGCCAATCATAACAGTCTCATTTCCCCTGCTAGACGGTTTAAGAAAGGCATGTGACCCAAATCCTGACCAATAGGACCTGAGGGGAAAATTCCTAGGAGGCTTCTATGCAAGTGTTGTCTTGCTAACAAAAAGAGATGCACAGGAAGAAACACCCCTTTTCTTCATGAGATGTTGCTGAGTCTTATTCAATGCAGTCAGAGTACAATTATGAGAGAAGATCCTGAGAATAGCAGAGTATAAAGATGGAAAGCGTCAGCATTCTTGATAATATCACTGAGTCCTTAACTTAGCCAACATGGACCATCTTCCTTTCCTCCTTTTTCTGGACTTCTTGTTCTGTGAGATGATAATTTCTTATTGATTAAGACATTTTCACTGAGGCTTCCTGCTAATGGCAGCCTGAGGCATCCAGCCAATGTACTTGTTCCCTTTCTTTGTATTAAATCTAAATGAGTTTCCAGTTAAATTCAAACTGGAAACTACAGAGTGCCAATATCAAGTTCACTATCTCTTTTATCAAAATTGAGCCCCCCCAAAACAATTTTAACTAACATAAAATAATTATTCACATTCTCTATCCAATAGGTCAGAATAAAGCATACTTTCAGGAACATTCAGAGAAAAGGATTTTATAAAGAAAACCATGGTACAAAGACAAAGAAAGAGACTGTTTTCCAAGTTTCTTTACATCAAAGTCACAGCACAATGTCATGTGTAGTTCAGGGTTAGGGTGGTGTTATCTCCTACCCACAGACATCACCTCTTTCACCGCTGTGAAAAGCATCCTAGGATCTTACAGAATAGTTATGGTGGTGGTTGACTCTAAGAGATAGTCTCTACTCACATCAGACTAACAAGAGGGCAATCCACAAGGGGCCCTGCAACACTCCAATGTTTGCCCTGCAACAACAGAAACCTCTTGTTGCATGTTCCAGATCTTTAAAAGCAAATAGTACAACAGAACTATAGCTCTCACATGTTCAAGAAACCATTTTTACAAAAAGGTCCTGCTGCCAAAGAAGAATATATAGGCATGGTCAAGAATATCAGTGTGGTCCATTGAACAAAGGAACATATAGGTATCAAGGTCAGGTTATTAGAGCCAGAAATCTGAAAGGAGATAAGAGTCTGGATTGAAAAGGACATAGTACAATAATAAGTATGGTTAGAAATTCAGATGTTTTAGGTCAAAATGTCAAATGTAATTCAAATACACAAAAAAGGGAATAAAAGCAGGAAAAGCTAGAGAGAAACTGAGATTAGGCAAGAGAGTCAGAGAACAGATAAAACTAAAAGAGGGTTACTGGGGCTTTGAATTCTGTATTCCTTTCCACCTGATGGTAGTGCAATCATACCTGCCCATTTCCCTGGAACAGTTCTCAGTTTGGTCCCAAGACCAAAAGTTTTAGCATCACCTGGAAACTTGTTAAAAATGCAAAGTATTCAATCCCACCCCAGACCTACTGAATCAGAAATGGGAGACAGCCATATGGTTTCAACAACCCTCCAAATACTTCCAAAGCTCACTAACTCTGGAGAGCCACCATCTCTCACAAAGGTCCATAAGCCAGAAGGAAAAGAGAAGTCCCCTTCTCTCAACAGTAACTATAACTGTGACCACTCAAAAATACTGAATTTCATAAACAAAATGGCTAGGAGGAAAAATCAAGCTCTCTGAGACCTAAATCATCATTAAATTAGATTCTAGTCTGCTTTCTTTGAGATGGCAAACACACACGGATCAGGAAGATTATCTTGAGTCTCTTAAGTCAGCCACAGATTTTCAAACTTGAAATAAATTTATACAAAGCAGCTACACTTAAAGACCATAATAGAATCAGAATAATCAAAACTGAAAAAACAAAATGCATTTAGCAATTCAATTTCTAAATTCAACACTTTACCATTTCTCTCTTGAATTATTCGAATGGCTTGCAGCTGCATTTCAATGTTTTTCTGGACCATCATTGCCTTAAAGATAGTAAAATCTTCTGCTGCCAACACAGGTTGCAAAATGGCCTATGGAAAGAAGTCTGGAAGTTAAATGAAGATTCAAGTTTTAAAACTATTTTCCACACAGATCATTTCTATGGCAAATCATTTCTATCAACTCAGGAATGCTGTATTAGTATTTATGGTCAGATGACTCAAAAGGAAAATTTTAAGATTCTAAAAACCTTTAATGTAGGCTCTCAAGAGGCTAACTCTCCCAACCCCCATGCCTCCAAGAAGCTAAGGCTGATGGCGATGATACATTTTCCAAATGAGCCAGTGCTGAGTAACTCTGAAAAACAGCACAGAAATTGGACTTAATTTTTTAAAGTTACAACTTCAGTATCTGGATTTGTTTTTCAGCCGAAATAAAGATACCTATTTGGTTTTTATTCTGTCACTTGAAATTTATAGTTAATAAATCAGTAGTTACAAAATTATCCCTTAATTAATAAAAGTACCAAGTTAAATAAAAGTAAATGCAAAAAAATGGAGTCTGGATATTAAGTGTAATGAGGTATTAGTAATATGAAAACACAATTATAGTTCTCCTGTATGTAGAAGGCTTCATATAAGAGGTAATTAGAAATTGTAATGTGAAATAATTTTCTGGATTAAAAAAATATGATAAATTAGGGGAAAAACTAAGGTGTCTACCTGGAGTACCCAAATTAACACTTTTTTAACTACAGGGAACTATTGCTATATTAAAGAGCAAACCAATTCCCAAGCTAATCAACAATAAGTAAAATAAGATTTGAAATGTGTGAAAACCCAAAACACTCAAATTTTATGCACTTACTAAAATCTTATTTCAAGCTTTACACGCTATTGATGGAAAAACTGAACACACAAAATCATGCAGAGGCAACCAAGGGTGTGCTATTGTTTACCAGGTGGGCAGCAGCAATAATGTCAGACATCTCAACAAAACCTCCATCCAAGAGCTCTAAGCAGAGAAGGAGCCCTTCTCCCAGCAACCAGCTCCCACCCTAAACAACCACAGTATATAGGAAAACAAAACAAAATGCAAAAGCAGCTCTCTGTGACATTTATAGAGTCAACTGAAGAAAAAAATGATGGAAATTCTTTCCCATTAAATTCATACACACTGTTCAAAAGGCCCACAGCAGGGCATAGCAGATAGGCTTGACTGAAAGTTTCAGCCGAAAGCTCAGTATTGAAAACACTTGTGGACAGTCTCTGTAAATAGATTAGTGATGTTTGCCAAGACATCTTTCTATGATTATGCCCCCACAAAACATTGTTCTGGGGCTTCCTAGACTTCTTATTAGTGATATCAAGGACCTTATCCTCATCACTAATAAACTCTTAAAGGGCAATGCTACTGAACAGCAATGTATCAACTGGGGCTTCTATCAGCAAGTCAGAGTTTGAGATGATACTTAAGTATGTTCCTTGATGCATCTAAGAAATGCATATTCCTAAACCCTACCATAGACATAATGAATCTAAATTTCTAGAGGATGGGTGTCCATGTATCTCCACAGATAATTCTTACAACATTAAAGCTTGAGAACTACTGAAACATTGGAAAAAATGAGCCCTTAATATCACAAGCCCACTTCCTGCTTGACCATGTACTAGCTGTGTGACTCTGGACATATCATTTAGTCTTTTGAGCTTCAGTTTCTTCCTCTGCAAATTAGTACTCTAGTAATAATAGTAATACAGTATTTTGTTGAATCTAAGATTCCATAGATGAGTAAAATAAATCATTACTTCATGTACCAACAAGAAAAGAAAAAAGAACCTTCCAATTACATTATGTCATTCATTATAAAATGCATTCTCATTTCAGAGATATTACACCAGGAAAAATTTTCACTTTAGCATGAAATAAATTTAATAATAACTTTCTGGGGTGACTGGGTGGCTCAGTCAGTTAAGCATCCAACTTCGGCTCAGGTCATGATCTCACGCCCCACATCAGGCTCTGTGCTGACAGCTCAGAGCCTGGAGCCTGCTTCTCATTCTGTGTCTCCCTCTCTCTCTGCCCCTCCCCTGCTCATGCTCTGTCTGTTGTCTCTCTCTCAAAAATAAATAAACATTAAAAAAACAATAATAATAACTTTCTGGTTGGGTGTTGGAATTAAGTAAAATGAGAAAGCACTTTTTAAACTGAAAAGTACCCATAAAAGTAATTGTCCTCGTCCTATTGATGCTGGTTAAGTATCAAAATGGTGCACTAAACCTAACAACTTTACAGCAATGGGGTTCTTCTGGTTCAAGGAAATGGATGTGAACTTCCAACAAAGGCAGTTGGAGGAACTAAATACAAGAGTTAACTCCAAAAAAACCAGTTTAAAAACAACAATCCCCCAAGTAGCCACTAAATTATCTGAAATGTCAAAGTATTTTGACAGAAGACTGTGAGATCAAGTATATGTGATGTTATTTGTTTGAGAAAAGCACATTAACAAAAAAATGAACACTGAGTATTTGAGAATCTAACTTAAATGAGTTTACAAGACGTTCAAATATATTCATACTTAGCCTAAGATTACCCTATGGTTATCTCTGCTTAGAGTTCACCATGCCATATTTTGAAAGGTACAGGTGATTTCATGTTCTCAGACTGCTCCATTAATAGAACTACAAGGAGAAACAGATGAATTCACGATTACATTTGGAGACTTCAATACCCTCTATCAACAATAGATCCAGCAGGCAGAAAATCAGTAAGGACATAGTTGAACTGAACAGTACCTCAGTCAACTGGATCAAATTGATATTTCTCCAACAGAAAAATACACATTTTTCTCAAGCACACATGAAAAATTCACCCAAATAGACAACATTCTGGGGCATAAAACACATCTTAATAAATTTAAAAGAATAGGAATCATACAAAATATCCTCTTAGACCACAACAGAATTAAACTAGAAATCAGTAACTGAATGATAGATGGAAAAAACTAAAATTCTTGTAGATTAAGCAATACACTTCTAAATAACACATGGATACAAGAAGTACAGGGGCTTCTGGGTGGCTCAGTCGGTTAAGAGTCCGACTTCGGCTCGGGTCATGATCTCACCATATGGGTTCAATGACCACGTCGGTCTCTGTGCTGACAGTTCAGAGTCGGCAGCCTGCTTCAGATTCTGTCTCCCTCTCTCTCTGCCCCTCCCCTGCTTACACTCTGTCTCTCTCTCTCTCAAAAATAAACAAACATTTAAAAAAAAGAAAAAGAAGAAGTACAGTTGAACAACATTAGGCTTGGGGCACTGACCCCTGTGCAGTCAGAAATCTGCATATGACTCCTGACTCCCCCGAGCTTAACCACTAATAGCCTACTGATGACCAGAAGCCTTAGCAATTATATATTGCACCAATTAACACATATTGTATATGCTATATGTATTATATCCTGCATTCTCACAATAAGCTACAGAAGAGAAAATGTTATTATGAAAATCATAAGGAAATTAAAAGGCAACCTACTGAATGGGGGAAGATATTTGCAAAGGACACATCCAATAAAAGGTTAGTATCCAAAATATATTAAAAATTTACACAACTCAACACCAAAAAACCACATAATCCAATCAAAAATGGACAGAAGACATGAACAGACATTTCTCCAAAGAAGACATGAATAGATGCTCAACCTCACTCATCATCAGGAAAATGCAAAGCGAAACCACAATGATGTATCACCTAACACTTGTCAGAATGGCTAAAATCAAACACAAGAAACAAGAAGTGCTAACACAAAAAAAGTAAAACACGAAAAACAAAAGAAACAACAAGGATGTAGAAAAAAAGGAACCCTCATGCACTACTGGTGGGAATGTAAACTGGTGTAGCCACTGTGGAAAAATAGTATGGAGCTTCCTCAAAAAATTAAAAATAGGATAGGATCCAGTAATTCCACTACTGACTATTTATTCAAAGAAATGAAAACACTAATTGAAAAAGATATATGTACCCCTATGTTTACTGCAGCATTATTTACAATATTTACAATAGCCAAATTATAGAAGCAGCCCAAGTATCCAGTGATAGATGAATAAAGAAGAGGTGTGGGTTGCCTCGGTAGTTCATTGGTTAAGTGTCCAATTCTTAATTTCAGCTCAGATGATCTTGCAGTTTGTGGGTTTGAGCCCCACATTAGGCTCCATGCTGACAGTGCAGAGCCTGCTTGAGATTCTCTCTCTCCTTCTCTCTC